GTGCCTCGTGCGCGAGCGGGCTGCAAGTCTCACCTCAACGACTAAGGCATGTGCCTGAGGAGTGGGAGGACGGAGAGGACACATAAACAGGAGGAGGGGGATCAGGGGGAGGATGGGGGAGCAGAACGAACCCAAGATGAATCAGCGATGCTGCAACACATCCTCCCGTCCTCAGGTCCCCCCAGAAAAATTCCTACGGGTAAGGTTTTCAATTTGCAATGCTCGACACGCACCCCCGCATAGACGAGCGCTCCGCGGGCCCTCAGCTCATGCGGGAGATCCGTCATGACATCATGGTAGCAGGAAAGGTGACGAGGCGTGATGAGGAGCAGGTCCCCTCCTCCTCTTCCTCCTCTTCTTCCTTCTCCTCCTCCTCCTCCCCCTCCTCCCCCCCTCCTCTCCCCCCTCCTCCTCCTCCTCCTCCTCCTCCTCCTCTCCTCCTCTTCCCCCCTCTCCTCCTCCTCCTCCCCTCCTCCTCCTCCTCCTCCTCCTCCTCCGCCTCCTCCTCCTCCTCCTCCTCCTCCGCCTCCGCCTCCCTCCTCCTCCTCCTCCTCCTCCTCCTCCGCCTCCCCTCCTCCTCCCTCCTCCTCCGCCTCCGCCTCCTCCTCCTCCTCCTCCTCCTCCTCCTCCTCTCCTCCTCCGCCTCCTTTCCCCGCCTCCTCCTCCTCCTCCCCTCCTCCTCCTCCTCCTCTCCTCCTCCTCCTCCTCCTCCCCTCCTCCTCCGCCTCCGCCTCCGCCTCCCCCTCCTCCTCCGCCTCCCGCCTCCTCCTCCTCCTCCTCCTCCTCCTCCCCTCCTCCTCCTCCGCCTCCTCCTCCTCCTCTCCTCCTCCTCCTCCTCCTCCTCCTCCTCCTCCTTCCTCCTCCTCCTCCTCCTCCTCCTCCTCCTCCTCTCCTCCTCCCCTCCTCCTCCTCCTCCTCCTCCTCCTCCTCCTCCTCCTCCTCTCCTCCTCCTCCTCCTCCTCCTCCTCCTCCTCCTCCTCCTCCTCCTCCTCCTCCTCCTCCTCCTCCTCCTCCTCCTCCTCCTCCTCCTCCTCCCAGCGTGCCTGGGCACCGTTTCTCGAAGGGCTGATGGAGACATTGTTTGTTGGTGCGCGGGCGAGCGAAGCGGGTCGAACGCCCGGCTAGCAGGGGCAGGCTACGCCACAGGCTGCGGAAAAGAAGCGGCGAGCAGAGCCCGGTGCGGGGCGAAGCTCAGGCGACCAAAATGGTGCAAGGGCGTCGAAGGGCACCGGAAGCGTGAGGAAGGTGCCGAGGAAGGGTTGATGGAGATACTTTTTTGGTCAACAGGCTCGCCAGGCGGGTCGAGAGCCGTCCGAACACTAGCCGGGCCGCGACTAGGCAGCAGGGAAAGAAAGGTAAGCGAAACGAGCGAGCGGGCACCCACTCAGAAGGAGAGCCAGCTGATGGATATACTTTTTGTAGTCAGCGGCCGCGGGCGAGCGCGCCAGCGGCGAGTCCAGTCAAAGCGGGGCACGCAACAACAAATTCACCTAAAGCGACGGAGGGCGGCCTCACCTAAAGCGGCTAAGCGGGGCCTCGCGCAGCACCTCAGCGGCGGACCGGCGAGTGGAGGGGTCAGCTGAAACTGAGTCGTAGTGCCAGCGTGCAGGTACGCATGGCGTCGGAAGCACCAGGCAGTCGGGAAGAACGACGACCAGGGACAGACCGAGTGATTAATGCAAGGGCGCGAACCCCGGACAACTGCGAGAGTACCAGGGTGGCCGCAGCCGGGGGGACCGACAGTCGGAGTCGAATTGAGGCCGGGGTGGGCGTGAGCGTTGGCAGGCTGCGAGAACCCAGGGTAGCCGAAGCCGCAAAGCCCACGGCAGCAGAACGCACGAGTACGAGAAGCAGCCAAGCTGCCGCGCGGCCAAAATGGCGCGGGTCACGACGAACAAGTGCACGAAGTGGCGCCAGGATAGGCGCACACCACGAGCCCTGAAGAGGGTCACGAACCCGGAGTCAGCACACCGAAGGTGGCGACAGACGAGGTACGTTTTTTGGCTCGCGGCTCCAAGCCGGATGACAGGGAGCAAAGACAGCGTCCGGGGCGCGTGACGATGTAAACTGGCCACCGAGGCACATGCACGTGCAAGGGACAAAACGACCCTCATTAAAGCGCAAGCTGCGTTGGCAGGAGACCGATCCCGACATCCCAACAGGTGGGGACGCAGGCGCGGCGACCGGCGGTGGAGCGGAAGGGAGAAGTCGCCCTTTCGGCGCCAAACTCCAGCCGAACCACATTCGGTGAGGCCAGGAGGCGGGGGGGAAGAAGAGAGCGAAAGCGAGCGACTACCACAGGCTCACTGCGGCACCCCGTGTCAGCGCTGGTGCGGCGAACGAGGCCTGTCTCATCAATGCTCACTGTGTCTGAAGTGTGGCAGATCCGCGACTGCAACGCAAAGCGGAAGGAACCCAGTGGGGTGCGTTCACGAGGCTAGGCCACCTCCAGCCAGTGCCAGTGCGTGCACATCGTATCCGACTCGCGCAGTTCGGGGGCACAGCGATGCAAAGTACTGGCGTGAGCTGCTTGCAGACTGCACTGCCGGGGGGAACGACCACGAACTGCAGAAGGCTGAACCACTCAAAGCAGGGCCGCTCCCTGACGAAGCCAAACACCGGGTCACCGAATGTATGGCTGGAGGTGACAGGCGACAGACGAGATACGCGAAGCGGCAATAATTCACGAAAGGGCCGAACCACAACCAACCACGCTTTCGAAGAGGAACCACCCTCCGTCCGTGCAATTGTCGCGCAGTGGAGAAGCTGCTGGTCATACAATGGAGCGACATCTCAAGCGAGAGCCCCATTTTGAAACTGGCCAGCCCTCCACCAATGTGACTGTTTTACTGTTGTTAACTCGCGTGCGCGGCGCCATTGCGAAATTCCCAATTCTAAAACGGCCCGCCCCCCATCCGTGCAAGTGTTGGACGGTTCGAGCTTCCAGGTCGTAGCGGCGAAGAGACGTCTGGGGAGGAACGCCCCGCCCCGCCCGAACGCCACGCCGGGCCACGCAACACGAAGAAGCTACGCATCAGGCATTGGCCATCGCTCGGACGTCCATTCCCTGTGTTTTTTTCGGTTTCGTGCGTGTTTTTTTTCGCCAAGTGACCAAGGATGCTCCTCGATGGTCCTCGCCGAAGGAAACATGCACACGTCCGGAAGGAGAAGGCGAAGAGGAGGATGCGGAGTAGGAGGACGGCGGCAAGAGGAACGGGCCCAGGGAGGCTGCTCAAACGCTCCCAAGATGCGCATACGAGGAGCCCAAATCCCAGAAACAAAAAAAAAAACGCAGGGACTGCGAATACGGTCGAGGAGGGCCCCGAACAGGCTACCAGGAGACGGCCCCAACACTCCTCAGAAGCCCCCAGTGGGAGTGCACATGCCCCCGAGAGGCCCCACAAGACTGCACACGATGCCCAAACACAAGACAGCCGATGGGGGCCCACATAGGCTGGCGAGAACCTTTCGATAATAGCGCCGCGCTGCCTTCGTCGTGTTGCTGCTCTTGCGACCGCTGCTCCCGCTCCCTGTCCCATCGCTCGTTCTATCAACACGCGGCCACAGTCGCCCACACCGCACGAGAGAGCGGGCAACACCACGCTGCATCGTGCCGTGCCAGGCCAGACCAGGATAGTCGACCAGCCCAGCCAAGACCGCTCGTGAACCGACACCGCCAGAGTGTGTATGGGACGCAGGAGGAGGAGAAAGGAGAAGGAGGAGGAGGAGGAGGAGGAGGAGGAGGAGGAGAAGGAGGAGGAGAGGAGGAGGAGGGGGAGAGAGGAGGGAGGAGGAGGAGGAGGACGAGGAGGAGGAGGAGGAGGAGGAGGAGGAGGAGGACATGCTGGCACCATGCAGCCCCCCCTTGGGAGGCGCAGGTCCGCACCGAGCACACAGCACGACCACCTCTGATACCAAAAGTGGTATGGCCAGGAAGGGCCCGCCAACGAGCACACAGTATAAGATGTCTGGGCGCGCGCGCGTTGTCCCCGAGCGCCGACGCACACCTAGTACGAGCATGCTTGGGAGAGGCCGGCGTGCAGGCCAGAGCGGGCCACGCCAGAAAGCCCGTGCCACGACTCGCAAGGCGACTGCTCGCAAATGGCCCGGATCCGCCGCGGATGGTCTTCGATCCACTACGTCGAGGCAAACCTGTATTGTTTCGTATTATACGTTTGCGAGTCGGCATTTTGCGAGTAGTGGAACGCGCTCGGTGAGGAGGAGGAGGAGGAGGAGGAGGAGGAGGAAGAGGAGGAGGAGGAGGAGGAGGAGGAGGAGGAGGGAGGAGGAGGAGGGAGGAGGAGGGAGGAGGAACAGAACAGTGGAGTCCCGAGGACAGGCCCCCGAGGGCTCCGGGCACGACACACAGGGGTGGCACGGGGGGGTGCACAAGAAAAGGAGGAGGCCTTCTCGGAGGGCGGCGGGGCTTCTCGGAAGCCCTCGCGCCCTGCGAGAAGCGTTCTGTGCCTTCGGGGAAGGTTCAGAGAAAACTTCTCAGAAGGCCCGGTGCTGATGATGGTGATGATGGTGATGATGATGATGATGATGATGATGATGATGATGATGATGATGATGATGATGATGATGATGAGATGATGGTGGTGGTGATGAGGATGTTGCTGATGAGGATACTAATGATGATGATGATGATGATGATGATGATGATGACGATGACGATGACGATGACGATGATGATGATGACGATGATGATGATGATGATGATGATGATGATGATGATGATGATGATGATGATGATGATGATGATGATGGTGGCCCGGGAACTTCGGGGCCTTCTGAGAAGGCCCCCTCCCCTTCTCACTTCACCTCCGGGCTCGCCGCCGACCAACAAGAGGGGCAACGTCCTGCACGGCAGGGAGCGGAGATCGATGGCGAGTACGAAGACGAGCCGAGGGAGGAGGCGAAGGAGGAGGAGGAGGAGGAGGGAGGAGAAGAAGGAGGAGGGAGAAGGAGGAGGAGGACGAGGAGGAGGATTAGGAGAAGGAGGAAGAGGGAAGAGGAGGAGGAGGAGGAGGAGGAGGACGAGGAGGAGGACGAGGAGGGGGAGGAACGCAGGGATGGAGGGCGTCGTCCAAGTCTGCGAGCCCAGGCGTCCGACATCAGCTGGGGGTCAGGTCGCGCACGACAGGAGGCACGCGCCCAGACGACACCAGGCAACGCCCCTGCGCCTGCGAGGCCGCAGGGAGGGAGCGAGACGCGGATCGCTGAGTGGGCTGGCGGGGACACGCGAAGCGCTTCGGGTTGCCAAGCGGGGCGCGCCCTGCGCCCACAGTTGCACGAAGCCCGACGGCAATCGTGCGGCAGGGCTGACCTCTGCAGCAGCGGCGGCGAAGGGAGCGAGACGTTGCCACGGCAGCGATGGATGCGACGAGAGCGGTGCTCGTGATGGTGATGCCCATGGTGATCATGACTGCGCAGAGTGGCGCGAAGGATCTCACGGATGACGGTGCCGGGCTCCCTGCGGACGCTCAGGCCCCATGGGCGGACGGCCGAAATTCGCAAAATGACTGCTGAAGAAAAGAGTTGGGCCGAAGGTGACTCTTCAGCGGCCAAGCATTCTGCACACATGCATCGGGCGGTGAACTGGGCAACGGTGCACTGTAAGATGATTTCTGAGGGGAGGTGCCATCACTGCGAGCGGGGACGGAAAACGTGCAGACCAGACAGGCCCGAGCAGGGGCACGCCGCAGGTCTCATGCAGATTCGTGTCAGCACTGCCACAGACGCACGTCGAACTCAAACCAGGGCTGAACCTAAACGGTGTTTTTCGTTTTCGTTTTGTTTTCGTTTTCCCTCGTTGTGTCATCAATCCACCTCTACCGCAAAACGAAGTCGAAACGAAAACGGCCCACGAAATCGCCAAAACACCGTTTAGTTCAAGCCCTGACTCAAACGGGGAGGACAACTTAGCAAACTGTCTTGCGGAGGCCTCCCGATGAGGTCCGAGCAGATGGGGTCCGAGGACGGCGCTGCCTCGGCGCAGTCGGCCTGGAGAAACTCGGGCGCCACATCGAGCCGCATCGCCGATGCATCGGCGACACGGCGCGATCCTCTACCAGAAGGAACGCCAAATAGGGAACAAAGGGGCTTTTCCGACCACGGTGGGCCTAGGCCACAGACAAATCCCGCGACATAAGCCTAAGGAACGACCCAAACCTCCGAGCCCCTTCCGAACCCAAAGCGGTCCTTATTTCAGCGTCTTGGCTGTACTCAGATCTTGTTCGCAGAGGGAAGAAAACGGCATCGCAACAAACTCTCGGAGGTCTGCGCGGAATTCTTGGACCGACGCTGGACCCCCCCTCTCTGGCGCGCCTCCATATGTCAGAGGCACCCTCCAGGGGGAGTCCAACGCCGATCTGGGAGATCCGCGCGAACCTACGACAACTGATGCTGATGCAACTTTTCCCTCGACGCTCCCTGAGACCCGACATTTCCAAAAGATGCAACCTCGTGACACGTCACAGCCCCAAACCCCGTCCTTCTGCTGCAGTTTTGGAGTCCCGAAACGGTGCGGTGACAGACCGTGCGGTGACCTCGAAACCCCCGAAGACCTCACCGCACGGTCCGTCACCGCACGGTTTTGGGACCTCAGATGCCCCAGTCGCCCGAGACGTCCTCGGAGAACGACTCGAGTCCCAAAACCGTGCGGTGACCCCAAATCCCCACCGACTCACCGCACGGTGTGGTCACCACACCGTTTGGGGGCCCCCGAGCAGTTGTGTCGGATGGATCCGTGATGACCCCGGGGCCCCAACACTGGGCGAGGCCGCCCGGCGTGAAAAAAATATGCGACGCCTGGATCTCCAGGCTGGGAGGCCTCCTCTTGCTCCTCCTCTTCCTCCTCCTCCTCCTCCTCCTCCCTCCCTCCTCCCCCTCCCTCTCCTTCCCCTCCTCCTCCTCCTCCTCCTCCTCCTCCTCCTTTTCTCCTCCTCCTCCTCCTCCTCCTCCCTCCCCCTGGTCTTCCTCCTCTCCTCCCACTCCCCCTCCTCCTCCTCCCCCCTCCTCCTCCTCCTCCTCCTCCTGCCTCCTCCTCCTCCTCCTCCTCCACCTCCTCCTCCTCCCTTCCTCCTCCTCCTCCTTCCTCCTCCCCTCCTTCTCCTCCTCCTCCTCCTCTTCTACCGCTACTCCCTACCCAGGAGAACGCGTTTGACGGGCGCTTGCCTTGGGCACATTCGGCGGCGCGTTTCGAACCGGGGGGGCCCCCCCCCAACACTCGCGCCGTCGATCAAAACCCAAGGGGACTCCCTCCCTCCCACCCCCACCCCCCCCCTCCGCCGAACCCCCACTCCCACCCTCCCAAGGGTGTGGGGGGGTTCAACCCCCCCCCTCGGCGCCGCGCCGGCGCTGGCGGCCGCCAGCAGCGCCCACGGCGGGGACGCAGCAACGATGACCAGAGGCAGCCCAGGGAGGGGGGGGGGGGGTTCAAACTTCCCCCCCTCCCCCTCGCGCCGGCGCAGGCGCTGGCGGCGGCCAGCAGCGCCGGCGCTGGCGCCGGCGACGGCGGGGACGCAGCGACGCTTACCACCACTACCACCACAACCACCACCACCACTACCGCCACCACCACCGCCACCCCCACCCACCATCCACACCACAACCAACAACACCACCACACAACCACCACCACACCACACACAACAGCCACCACCACCACCACAACCACCACCTTAACTCACCATCACCACAACCACCACACCACCACCACCACCACAAAACCCACCACCACTACCACCACCACCACAATCTACCACACCACCACTACCACCGCCACACCACCACTACCAGCAGCACAACCACCGCCACCACCACAAACCACCACCACCACCACCACCTCCACCACCACCACCACCAAAACAAACGTGCACAAACCACCGCCACCACCACAACCCACCACCACCACCACCACAAACCACCACCACCACACACCACAACCACCACCACCACAACTCACCATCACCACCACCACACAAAAACCCACCACCACTACCACCACCAGCACAATCTACCACACCACCACCACCACCGCCACAACCACCACCACTACCAGCAGCACAACCCACCACACCACCACAACCACCACACCACCACCACACCGCCACCACCACCACCACCAGCACCACCTCCACAAACCACATCCACCACCACCACCACAAACCACCACACCACCACCAAACCACCACCACCACCACCACAACCAACACCACCACCACCACCACCACAAACCACCACCACACCACCACCAAACCACCACCACCACCACCACCCACCGCCACAACCACCACCACCACAACAAACCACCACACCACCACCACCACAACCACCACCACCGCCACCACCACCACCACAACCCACCACCCACCACCGTCGTCCTCGTCGACGCTCCCCGCCACCGCCGCCCGCCGCCGCAGGCGCCGGCGCCGGCCCAGAAATGGAAATCGTCGTCCCCGCCGCCGTCGCCGCCGCCGACGCAAGCGCCGGCCCGAGGAGAGGGGAAGCGGGGGGGGAAAGGGCGGGGGAGGGGTTCGAACCCCCCTCGCCGTCACGGGAGGGGTGGGGTTGGGGGGGGTCCGGTTCCAACCCCCCCCCCCCTCCAAGCGACCACAGAACGCGCTCTTTCCCCAGACCCCAGCTGCCCCGACACGCAACACGCAACCCGCAGCGTGTTGACACGGAGCTCAACACGCAGCCTGAACACGTGGGCACGGCGCGATGCGTTCGCCAAGACGTGGGCCGACAATTTCACGGAGCAAACGCGCACGCGACGCATTGGCACGGACGGCTGAAGCACTGTACGTGCTGCGTTTCAAGGCGGGCGTGTCGAGGCAGCTACAGTCTAGGCGTTGACCTAAGGAACCCGAAATAAGGAACGAGGCCCCTTTTTTCCATAAGTTAAACTTCGATTTCCTATGGGAAACATAGAGGAAAACCTGAGGCAAGCTGTGAAACACTTAAGGAACGCGGAGCCCCTCCCCAACCAAAAGTGTTCCTTCTTCAGGGCCCCGGCTGTAATCCCCAGACCTCTCCCGTGGTGCGTTCGGACCAGGCTTCCCACGCGCAGCCAGCCGCGGCGACGAGGGCCGCCCAGGAGGGCCGAAAAGGCGAAAACGAGGGAAGGGCAGCGGCGTCGCTGTGCACCGCCCCCCTCCGACGTTACCCCGCAGGCGCGGGGCCCCCTGCCACCACCGGGCACTCAGGGTGCAGCGGCGAGCGCACGACGTGCCGCAGCGGGAGCACCTGAGCGACGATCAAAAACGGGTCTCACGCGAGATGGCACTCAGGGGGCCCACACGAATAAGCACACACACACACAAATCCCAGGATTCTCCATATGTTCTTCTATTTTCTAGGTGTTCGTCTTCCCCCCCGACTTCCCATATTTTCCCATATGATCCTGGGAATCGACGATTCGTTGCGTGTCTGTGTGATTTTTCCCTCCCGAGACACAACGACCTTACGCCGCAGCTTCCGCGGGCCGCCAGCGCGGCACGCTGCCATTGGCGACGGGGGCGCTATACGCGCGACCTGACGTGGGGGCAGCCGACGCGCCTAATTATGTCAGCGCAGACGACCCCGTTTCTGCTGCGCCGCTCGCCTGCCGGCGCGTCTCGGGGTCCACGCAGCCCGAGACGTGGAACTCCAGCGCCGCCTCCGCGCTCCGCCACGCGCCCGGCCACGACACGAGCCCGTCCGCCTGGCACCTCCGCGGGGGAAGAGGCGGCGCCGCGCGAGGCGCCCCCGAGGCAGCACCGGGCGGCAGCGTGGCGCAGCCTCAGCGAGCCCGCCCAGCGCACGGGGCGCCCGCGAGGAGGAGGAGGATGAGGAGGAGGAGGAGGAGGAGGAGGAGGAGGAGGAGGAGGAGGAGGAGGAGGAGGAGGAGGAGGGGGAGGAGGAGGTGGCGAAACCCGGTGAACCCATCCAGCTCCCCGAGGCAGCCGACGCGGAAACTCCGACGTGCCGTTGGGGAATGAGCTGTCGGAGGTCCGCGCGAAGTGCTGGGATCGGCGCTGGGCCCGCCTCCCTCTCCCTGGAGCGCGGGGCGCGCCAAGAGCGCCGCCTGAGGCCGCCAGGGGGGCCCAGCGCCGATCCAAGAATTCCGCGCGGACCTCCCCAGACATGCTACGTCTTGTTTTTGTTCCATGCGCGGTCCCCAGAAATCCCGACCCTTTCCCCGGGACTGGTATTTTCATCCCGAGTCGTTCCTTGACGGCCCCGGGGCCCGGCGAGGGCCTCTGGAGGTCGAAAACGGAAACAATAATCTCCGCCCTGGGCGCATTTTACGACGCGACCGTGTCTGGGTTCGGAAGTTCCTGCCGCGGCTCTCCCTGGCACCTCGCGAACGCCGTGCGGAAGCTCGCGGGGCTCCAGGCACTGCCAGGGGGGGCCGCCTCCGGGAGGGGCCCTATGGGATCCCGCGGGCTGCAAGCCTGCCACGCCCTGTGCTCTCGCCCGGCCTCGGGCCCCTGCAGGGCGGCAGGGATCCATGCGGCTCGGGACATGCCCCAGGAGGACAGGGTCGAGGAGGACAGGGTCGAGGAGGAGGAGGAGGACAGGGTCGAGGAGAGGAGGAGGACCAGGAGGAGGAGGAGGAGGAGGAGGACCAGGAGGAGGAGGAGGAGGAGGAGGAGGAGGAGGAGAGGAGGAGGAGGAGGAGGAGGAGGAGGAGGAGGAGAGGAGGAGGAGGAGGAGGAGGGGAGGAGGAGGAGGAGGAGGAGGAGGAGGAGGAGGAGGAGGGAGGAGGAGGAGGAGGAGGAGGAGGAGGAGAGGAGGAGGAGGAGGAGGAGGAGGGAGGAGGGGGGGAGGCGGGGGGAGGGAGAAAGAGGAGGAGGAGGAGGAGGAGGAGGAGGAGGAGGAGGAGGGGGGGAGGGGGAGAAAGAGGAGGAGGAGGAGGAGGAGGAGGAGGAGGAGGGGGAGGAGGAGGATTTTTGACATCCACTACTGCCAAGCCACACTCTCTGGGGGGACGGCGCCTCCCACCAGAGGAGGGGGCAGGGCTGGGTGGCGCCTCCTGCCACTTCCGCCACCAGCCCTGCCCCACCGCTGACGTCACGGCAACTGCGGGGGGACTCACGCCGAGACGGCTGCCAGTCCCGCAGTGCCGTGGAAACAGCGGGAAAAAACTAACGCCACGGCGCGGGCTCCACACGAAGCTCGGATTTCGACGGATGCCGACCCTTACAAATAGCATTGAAAGTCTCGGTCTTCTTACGCGTCGGTGGCTGACATCGCTGAGCTAAGCCCCGAATATAACCCAGCGAGCCGTAGGAATGACACCTAAGACAGACAGTCAGGAAGGAACCATCAGAAACGAGCAGCGATATGGCATGGTGCCCGAGCGCTCTCAGGGATGGGCCGTCCAGCTTCGATTCATTCGAGCAAGAACCTGGCGGCGGTATCGAGCGTCCTTTGCGCACGATCAAACAGTGCTGGCAACGCCAGAAAGCAAATCCGAAATACCCCTCGCGCTTCTCCCACGTCCAAGCATGGGGCCGCGAGGGAGGAGCAGGTTCGACGGGAGGGCGCTCCCAGTGGCAGTCGGTCAAATCCAACGGCGGCCACGCTGGCAGCAGCTTCGCTGCGAGCTTGCAGACCGCCTTGGCTATCTTAATTTGCCATTGCAGCCGGCTCTCCTCGGCCTCCGACGGACGGGGGTGGAGTCCAGCACCCTGCTTGGCGGCACGATCCGCCAGGTCATTCCCGAGGCGCCTCCAGCGCTCCAGGGAGGATATGCCCGCTTCGTGCGGGTCTTTGTGGGCATCGACTTTGACGACCGACTGGACCGACGACACCCCAAGACGATACATCATCATCAGCCCCGCGAACGGGCGGCGATAGCTCAGCTGCGAACTCTTGTCCCCAGCACAAGCAGAGACCACGTTCAAGCAGTCGCTATAAAAAGTTGACAGGCGAGGCTGCTCCTGCCCAGGATGTCGGTCCTCGCCGATCTCGGCGACGGGCCCTTGGCCCGCGTCACTCATGACCTCCACTCCGCCGCGGGCCAGGGCAGCGAATTCGGCACACTGGGAGGTCTGGAGGAAAGGGGCGTGGATAGGCCCATAGATGTGGCACACCCTGTCACCCGAAGAGTCGACCTTAACGAGCCCATATCCAGCACGCGAGAGCTCGGCTATCTCATGACGGAAGCAGCTACCGTCAAGGAAGATATCGCCATCAAAGGTGCCACCGTCCTGGGGAGGCTCAACCCATTCACATCTGGCCTGAAATTCACAATCCAAAAACTCCCGAGACGGCCGAGGGAAGACGTCTCCAGGATGCGGAAAGACACCCCTGGTGAAACGCAGAGCAACTTCGGGGTCGGCCAGGTCCGCGTCAGCGGCTTCATCAATCAAACTCTGTGAAAGGGTCTCCTCTCTCGTGGAGGCGACGGCAGGGCAGCGCCAGAGTCGATGGAAGGTCGAATCGCCAGTGAAACCGCAGAGCTCGCACCGATCCTCGAGACCGCGGTACCCGACCTTGATCGCCCGATCGCGAGTCCAGAGCGCTTCGCAAGTCAAGCTCCTGATCGATCCACGTTCCTGGGAGGTGACCCGCGACGATCGGAGGCGAGATCGGACGATGTCGAAACACAATCGATCGCAAGACAGGCCCTGCTTAGCCGAAGCCTCACGCTCCAGGGCACGCCGACAGGCCTGCTGCAACATTTTCTTCAGCATAGCTGGGGACACGCTCGTCAGCAATATCGTCTCCCCGAAATCGTTCACGATCGTGACGAAATCTGACATAGACCACTTGATGCGAATAAGGGAAAGACGCATGGCGCTAATGGGTCCCCCGACGTCGCGCCACCTAGGTTCCGCCGCCGCGAACACGGTCTCCCAGCTGAGTCTCAACTGGTCCCAAGGGATCGTGTAGGGATAGGCACCCGTCTGGAGCGCCCATATTTCTTTGGCGTACCTAACCACGGGGGCCACAGCCCCCACCCAAGTCGGGTCATCGTTCAGAAGGAGGGTGGCGGTCAGCGAACGCCCCCCCGCACCAGGTCTCAGAACGCGCCCCGCTTCACGACGGATCTTCGCCAACTCGAAGTCCGAAAGCCCATGGATCTCCGCCCCGTAGAGAACCCCAGGCAAAGTCCCAGAGACCCAAATACGCTTACAATACTTACCGAGGCTGCAACTCAGCTTGACGAGCTTCTTTGTAGAAGCTTTCAGGGTGTCCACGCGGACCCTAAACTTGTGGCCTCTCCTGGCGGCTCGTCTGGGTCTCCCTGCAGCATCGTCGATCCCCAGGTTCACGGCACTGTCCGTGATCGGCCCAGCGAGGGGCCCCAGGAACTGACGAAGCTGCGAAGAGACCTCAGCAGATGAGCAGACAAAAGAGGCCTTATCAGGCGCCACCTTGCATTTCATGTCCAAGGTGAGAGCGTCGTGCAGGCCCTGCGAGGCTTCCTTTAAATCATGCACGACCTGGGCCTTGGAGCCCACCGCAGACAGCCCGCTATCATCGATGTACGGGTCCAGCTGGACGCTAGGCCCGAGCTTCAAGGAGTCAAGAGGGGTGATCATGTAGACCTTGACCCATGTCGTGGCTAACGAACAACCCGCGATAACCCCTCGAGCCGCCATCAGCGGGCCCGAGACGTACCCAGCCATGCAAATAAACCGGGCCCCTCGGTAGGCCGCGACCGAGAGACGATATAAGGCCACAGGGACCCCGTGTTGCACGCAACGCTGTTCCAAAAGCCCGAGGTCGATGGTTTCGTAAAACTTGGACAAGTCCCAAAGAATCGTGGCCGCCACCAAACCACGACGATAGGAGCATTCAGCCCTGACTCCTTGACGCCACACGACGTCACTGGCCGAAGCAAAAGACTGGCCAGCGAAATAAGCTCGAGGATGCTCCAATTCCCACTGCTGTGCTATCACCCTTCTCGCTTTCCCCCACAATCTGTACATGCTGCAGAACAGGCCAATCGGCCTCCAGCCGCCGTGCGGCTTCATGATGAGCGCCAGCTGAACCAGCTGGATCTGGAAGGGGAGTGAGGAGGTCATTTCCATGATGGCCAGCATTAGGCCCACGACGTACAAGCAATCGTCGGTCATCCAGGAGTAGTGTTTCATGTGGAAACCGTCGAGCCCAAAAGCAGTCCTGGGGGAGTACCTGGAGGAGATCATCCTGAGAAATTCGGGTTGCAAGAAAGGGAGGGGGCTACAAATACCTTTCGAACCTTCATCGAGCGCGGGGGGCCCCGTCGACTTGGCACCCCATAATTCAGCATAGAGCGAAGACTGAGACTCCAGCAGAGAAAGAGGGTCAGAGAGCACAACCCCAGCCGAGCTGAGGGTCGTGGTAGGCTTCCAGCCCGCAGCAGGCTTGCGAGCGAGGTGAGCGTTCCTTCCTCCCTTTTCAATAGGAGGAGGAGGAGGAGGAGGAGGAGGAGGAGGAGGAGGAGGAGGAGGAGGAGGAGGAGGAGGAGAGGAGGGTGGATGAAGGAGGGAGGAGGAGAGAAGGAGGGAGGAGGGAGGAGGGAGGAGAGAGGAGGGAGGAGGAGAGGAGGGAGGAGGGCTCCTGTCGTGATCCTTCGCGACGCTGCAGTTTTTGCCGCGACGTTGGATCTCACAGGGGGGGGGGAGGGCCGCCACCTCGCCGAGGAGGGCGCGCCCCCGACCGCCCCCCCCCCCCCCCCAAAAAAAAACCCTCGGAGGGCGCCCCGAGGCATGTTCTCCGCAGCTTGCAGAGGGGGGCCAGAGCTGTGCGCGTCGGCGCGGGCTCGGGCCGCATCGGCGCAGGGGCGCCCATAATGCTCCGAAAGATGAGGTCGCTGGCGCAGAGTCGGGCTGCCCGGGCCCTCCCCAAAAGCCAGCGAACATCGTCCGAGACCTCCTCGGCCCCCGTCCTCGAACCCAGACATCCGACGACGCGATCGTTTCGAGTCGCGGCCCTGAGCTTCAGACCCTTCCCTGTGGGGCCACATTTCATCCCAGATCCATGTTTCATAATCCCAGGGGCCCGATAACGATAACGAGCCCTGGAAGTCGAGGAAAACCGCTTGGATTGAAATTATCCAACTGTCGACAGAGATCTGGGAAGCCCGATCCTCCTGCGGAACTGCGACTCCCTCGGCGGCGTGATTTCTTCAATTCGCGGGCCCTGAGCTTCAGACCCTTTCCCCGGGGGTAGTTTTTCGTCCCGCATCCACTGTTTGGGGCTCCGAGGCCCTATAACGGGCCCCGGAGGGCGAGATCGAGGAAAGACCCCTGGGATGGATCGGAGCGAGAGCGAGTCTGAGTCTCAGTGGATCTGAGCATGAGTGAGACTGAGTGTGAATGGGTCTGATGAATCATCTGCGTGTGATGAGAGGGAAGAACGAGACGGGAGTAAGGAAATGGGCATGTCCCAACAATAACCAGAGCCCCATACATCGGATCTGGGGAAAAAACACACCGTCGACGGAGATGTGGGAAACTGGGGAAACCAAAAGGTACCGATACCACTACTCCCCGGACCTCTCCTGGGGTGCGTTCTGACCAGGATCTCGAGGCGAATCCAGCGGTGGTGACAAGGGCCTCCCGGGAGGCCCACAAAGAGGAAAACGGGGGAAGGGTAGAGGGTATGGGTACCTTCTCCTCCTCTGACATGAAATGCCTCCTAGGTGGGGTCCGAGTAGATGGGGTCGGAGGATCGGGCCGCATCACCGATGCATCACCAATACATCGACGGTGCATCTACGATGCATCGGCGACGTCGGCGATGCCTCAGCGACGTCGGCGTGGAGAACATCGGGCTCCACATCGCGCCGCATCGCTGGTGCATCGGCGATGTGGAGCGATCCTCCGACCCCATCTACTCCGACCCCATCTAGGAGGCCTAGAGACATACATCGGATCTTAGGAGAGAGAGAGAGAGAGAGAGAGGAGGAGGAGGAGGAGGAGGAGGAGGAGGAGGAGGAGGAGGAGGAGGAGGAGGAGGAGGAGGATAGGCCACACACCGCCGACGGAGATCTGAGGACCCTGGTCCTCGGGAGGAGCCAGCGGCCCCCTCGTCGGCGGCGGCCCCCCGTGGAACTGCCCGAGGGCTCGCCGCGTAGACGCAGACCGCGCCGGGGTCCTCGCAGGCGGCCGCGTCGGGGTCCTCCTCGAAGCGGAGCGTCTGGCTCGAGGGAGGAAACAAATATGCAGAAGCACACAAAGAGGGATAGGTACCCTGTACTGCTACCCTTCCCCCGGTTTCCCCTTTTCTGGGCTTCCTGGGAGGCCCTCGTCGCCACCGCTGGATTCGCCTCGAAATTCTGGTCAGAACGCCCCCTGGGAGAGGTCCGGGGAGTAGCGGTATCGGTACCTTTTGTCTTCCCCATAAGCATAAGCCTTGGGGCCCAGACATTCTCGGAGATCCAGGCGCTGCATTTCTTTCAGCCGAGCGATTTCGCTCGGTTTCAGGGTTCGGGACCCTCATAGATCGATGCGGCACGGAAAATTCTCCAGATAGGTGGAGTCTGGGGCTCTGGTCGCGCTCTTTCGCGATGATACCTTTTGGGGGGGCAGCGTCGGATCTCAGGCTTATGAAGACAATCCTGAAGGCCTCGCGCGGCAACTTGAGAGCCTGTTTACGTCGGATCCACGTCGGATTTACGTCGGACTCACTTCGGATTCACGCCGAGCCTGCGTCGGACTAACGTCGTAACATCGCCCCGCGAGCGTCGTCCGATATCTGACGGGGCGGATGAACTAGTTCATACAACTATCGCGTGCCGCGCGAGGCCTCCAACATTTCCATCCTAGCTGACACGTCCGCGTCATAAAAAATCACGACGTGACGTTTCTGTTGCCGTTTTCGGCCTCTGCGGGCCCTCATCGGGCCCTGGGACTGCAAACAAGACACTCCCGATGAGAAACGGGCGCCAGGGAAAGGGTCGGGACTTCCAGGACCCCGCATGGAACAGATCACGCCGCCGCATTTCTAGGGGGGCTCGCGCGGATCTCTTGCATCTGGGCCGGAACTCCCCTCCCTGACGCGCGGGGCGCGGCGCCGCCAGAGTCGGCGGCGAGCGAGGGGGGGGAGTGAGAAGGGGCAGGCCTTCTCAGAAGGCTCGGAAGTCCCCCGGCCTTCTGAGAACTTGTCTAAGCCCTCTCCGAAGACAGCCAACAACTTCTCGGGCGGCGCGAGGGCCTCCGAGAAGTCCCGCCGCCCTCTGGGAAGGCATCCTCCTTCTCACTGCCCCCCCTCGCTCGCCGCCGACCGGGGGGGACCCAGCGCAGACCCAAGAGCTCCGCGCGGCGCTGCGCACGCTTGTGCTTCTGCTCTTGCTTGTTTCCTCCCTCGGCTGGTGCAGGCCGTCGACGGGCGACGGTCGGCGGCGCGCGCACACGGGGGGGGTCTCGCCAGCGCTCGCGGCGCCCATCCCCCGTGGCCTTTGCCGATGTCGTGCGTGCTTTTTTCAGGGGCGACGGGCTGATTTTACACCACCCCTGCCATAGGCAGGAGAGTGAGGAGGAGGAGGAGGAGGAGGAGGAGGAGGAGGAGGAGGAGGACCTCCCCATCCTCCCCTTTCCCCCGTCCTATTTCTGGTAGCGGTGGTGGAACATCGGAAAATTGACCCATCATAGGGGGGGCTCGAGGATCCACGATGCTCCTCGAGGGCCCTCGCCAGCCAGAACACACACACACACACACACTCACACACACACACAGACACACAGACACACAGACACACAGACACAGACACAGACACAGACACAGACACAGACACAGACACAGACACAGACACAGACACAGACACAGACACACACACACACACACCAGTCCGAGCGATGCCAGGGGGTGGCGCGATGGGGGGGGACTTCTCCGAGAAGGCCCTGGGGGCTGCCTGGAGAGCGGGGGCCTTACGAGAAGCGCCTGGCTTGCCATCGCTCGGACGCCCATTCCCAGTGCATTGAGGAGGCAACTACTGGGAGGTTTTCGTCGGAAAGATAAAGGAGGACTAAGCCCCATTTGGGAGCTGTTACGCCGGAGTGGGTCTCGGACTAAGCAGGATTAAGCCGGGTTTAAGCGGGTCAGAGCCCCGTAGACCCGGACACGCTAGACCCGGACACCCAACATCCCTCGAAAACAATTTTTCCAAACGGCGGCACGAACTAAATGCTGCACTGCAACATTTCCAGAATAAACCCGGACACAGGCCTCAAAAAGCCTGCAAGACCCCCCTAAACCCGGACACAATCCCGAATCCTGCAGTGCAGCAAACAAAACATGCACGGGTGCTGAAAAACGTAACTTTGCAGGAAACGATGTCGTTTCCTGGTTTTCCGTGTCCTGCTTTATCTGTGCCCTGGTTTCCGGGGGCCTGAGCGGGATTAAGCGGGATTAAGCCGGATGAAGCGGGATTAAGGTGGATCAAGCCGGATTTCCGACCAGGAAAAAAATCAGAATTTGACCTCCCAGGAGTTGCATCCGAAGTGCATGCTACGATATCGTGCGTGCTTGCCTTTTCGTCGCAAGATGCTCCGAGATGCTCCTCGATGGTCCTCGCCGAAATCATACACGCGTCCGAGCGATGCCAAGCGGAAGGCTTTTGAGAAGCCTCCGTGGAAGCTCCCGAGCGCTTATCACAGAAGGCTCCTGTGTTCCAGGGCGCCCCCTGCCTTCCCGGAGATCCGGCGTTGCGAAACAACTGCGGCATCGTGACCGATCACGACCAGAGCCCTATAGACCCCATCTTTATGTTGCGGCATCTCGCGAGCTGGCGCTCGACCTATGAGAGCCCTATAGGACCCGAAGCTGGGCGAAAAAACGCGCAGCTTGAAAGAGATGCAATTCCCGGAACTCTGGCCATCGCTCGGACGTCCATTCCCTGTGTTTTTTTCGGCTTCGTGCGTGGTTTTTTCGCCAAATGATCAAGGATGCTCCTCGATGGTCCTCGCCGAAAGAAAAATGCACACGTCCGAGCGATGCCAAGAACTCAGGGTGCCCCCCCCGAGCTTAACTTTCGGGCCGCAGCGGCCGTTGGGGACGATCTGGGCACCCCCCGGACGCCTCTCGGCGAGGCTGCAGCTGCTGGAGAGCATTCTGAGGCTGGACCTCCGCCGAGAAGCAGCGAAACCGCCCGAAGGCTTTGCGCCTCGAACGGTGCGAGGTTATTGCGCAGAGCTGACATATATGGGCCGGAACCGAGCTGGTCAAAAACGGTCAACTTGCAGGTCCACCACAACGTGAACGTGGTCACGCCGAATGGCGCGCTGATCGGGCTGTGAGTAGCGCCATGTATATCAGCACTCTTCAGAAGGCAGATGAGCAGGGGCGTCCATCGCGCGCAGGCTGGGCGAAGCTATTACGGCTGCTTTCAAAATCTTGCGAAGTGTTTGGAAGCATGCGAACGTCACGCGTGCCAGAAAGACTAAGATGTTCGATGCTTGCGTGGTGTCGACGGTGCTGTACAGCTTGGGCCTTCGCCAGGCCGGCACAGACAAGATCGACGCCGTCCAGGCAGGCCCGTTGTCTACGAAAGAATACAGCGCGCCACAGCCAATGGTCTCGCATCTACCGACTGGAGAAGTCAGGCGGCGACCCCGCCAGCATCGACTACGCCTTGCAGTGTGGATGCGGCAATACAGTCGGGGCGTTGACCTAAGGAACCCCAAATAAGGAACGAGGCCCCTTGCACCCATAAGCTCAACTTCGGCCCCCCATCGAAAACCGAAGGAAACCCTTGGGCAGACTGTGAAACAGTCAAGGGCAACCGAGCCCCTCCCCAACGAAGAGGGCTCCTTATCCAGCGCCCCGCCTGTCTTCCGTTGGTGGTGGATGGGCGGACCGCTTCCCAGCCAGGGGGACTCCCGACGCATGGAGAGGATCAGGACGGAGCGATTCCACCACTTTCGGCGCCGCGAGGCCGCCTCCGGGGCCGGGGACCGGCAGAGCGCGATCATGGGACGCAAAAACGGCCACAAAGAAGAGAGGGCTGCAGAAAACACGGCGGAGCAGCAGGGCAAGGTCGGAGAGAAGAACGCGGGGATGCCGTTCGGCGGCCAGAGCGGCCTCCACCGCGGGCTGCCGCTCCGGCGCCGGGCCCACCCCGCGCCGCGACGCGGCTGGCGCTCGAGCCCGAAGAGGGCCCCGCCCGAGGTGGGCCGCGGCTGGCTTCAAGCCCAACCGCTTCAGTCACACGCAAAGCCAAACCAGAGCGACATCAAGGCGTTTTCCAACTGCCGCATGGGCGAAACTTGTGGGGAACGTTTCACATGCGCAGGCCGCCTTCCGGGAAATAAAAAGACGATCTCGCGCCAGCAAACGCGCTCAACTTTCGCCCCCCCCCGTTGACCCCACCCCCAAGTGGAGCTGAAGAAGCTTGGGAGAAGGCGAAGCTGGCGACGACCTCCTGGCCTCGCCCCCTCCCGCCCCTGCCCGCCTCCCCCCCCTCCCGCCGCCCCCCCTCCCCTCCCTGCTCGGGCGGCGTTGGGTGCAGTGCCCATCGGCCAGAAGAGGCAGGCAGAAGCGTGAAGCAGGAAGGCGTTGAAAGTAGATGGGGTCTCCGTCCGCCCCCCTGGGACGACGGACGCCGTGAAAACGCTCGATCCTTGAAGTAGGAAGGCGCTGAAGGTAGATTGGAACCTGGGACACCCAAGAATACCTGCCTTCAACGACCGATGGGTACTCGGGCACCCTCGCCTTGCGGTGCATGGGCAGCCGACCTGGAGAGCAGTCGCGACACCAGCGTCGTCCTTCCACCGGCCCGCTAGACGCGCAGGTGCGACCTCTGCTTGCCGCTCCTCCGGCGCGGCAACCGCTCCCCCCGCGCGGAGCCGACGTGTCGTGCGACGCAGCCTGCGAGCGAAGGAACGAACGCCCAGATCTCAGGCAAGGCCACCCCCCTCGCTGTCTTCCCGGACATCTGGCGTCTCCACTTTGTGAGACACGGGCGAAGGAGGAGGAGGAGGAGGAGGAGGAGGAGGAGGAGGAGTAGAAGGTGCTTCGCTGAGGAG